AGATGTGTTGTTTACTGTGAAAATCATTTACTTATTTTTACTTATTAAAATTTTAATGCAATTTCCACACATGCACACTCACATGGTTTCTACCAAGAAAAACACTCTTAATACAAGTATTTGTGGAACTGTAACACAGCTGCATGCCAACTGTCAGTTGTTCATCATTTGACAGTATCAGCACAGATGTAAAATTATTTTTCAGTAGAATAAAAGCAGAATGTCATCTAGGAAAGGATGTACTACAAATATGTGCCACCTACACAAAAGATGTGTTTGGTTTACTCAATTCTTACTCATATCTTTTAAAACTGATACATAATGGAGGAGGAAAAAATGAAAATCGTGCTGTTCTGTGCCAAAGAAGAATAGGACCAGGAAATTTTTAAGGTTGATTAGATTTCTTCTCTCACTTGGAATTGGGAAAAGCATAGCGTTTTTGCCAGTAACATCATGAATTCACTTACATTACTAGGGTAAACAGTTTCTGTTACTTTATGGAGCTTGCTGCAACATACATGAAGCCTGTTAAAACTAACAAATTAATGGAATAATCATTTTAAAGGGCATTTCTCTGTTTACCAAAAAACATGTGAACACGTTAAGGAATTTCTGATGCAAGTATGAATATCTCATGTAGGCATAAGCTGCACTGCTTACCCTAAGCAGATAAGCAAAAAGCACAACTTTCAGCAAAATGGCATCAGGTCTGAGAGGAATCTGAACCCCCAACAACCACCATGTTACTGCTCCTGCCAATTACAGGCAAAAGCTGGCTGCAGGCTCTCATTCTTCCCAGCATTTTGAGATGGAGAGACAAGTAATCGTGTGCATGTGTGTATGAGAGCTTGCCAAGACGATGGGCTAGCCACAATGCCAAAATCAAGGTCATTAAAGACACTGCATACGGAAAGGGTCACTTTGCTAGAAACAGCCCAATTACCAGTGAGCATATATAATGACTATTCATGATGTCAAAGCAGTTTGCCACACTGCTTTCATCTGCCAGCAGACAAATGCCTATACAAGAATGCTGCAGCTGTCAAGGGAACATTTGACTCAACATATGTGTCTTGGAATGGGTTCTGTAGGCAGCCTGGCCGCCGTCCTGAGGAACCAGAGAAGATAATTCCACACAATGACAATGTTTGAGACCACAAAAATTCCAACCATAGCCTTGATATTACACCAACCCTAGTTGATTTCAGCTGTTACAACAGGAAGAGCTAGTGACTGCACACAAATGTCTCACTGACCAAAGCAGGATTTTATTCTCCGTTCTCCCTCAGCACTGTTTACCCCATAGGTCTTTACAGAAGACGTGTGCAGTCTGTTGAACAAAGGCACAGGTCGAGAATTCTCTGCCTCTCAGCACTGCAGTACAGATAGATTTGTCTCCTCCCTCTGTGACCTTAAGGCCACAGCTCCCCTGAAACCGCTCCAATGAAAATAGAGCAGAGTAACAAGTCACAAAAGATTAAAAAAAAAACAGCCAAAAAACACGAGATGTTACGTTCTCAGGCACAACAGCATTTCACTGGAACTGTTAACAACCAAAGAGGGTAACCACACCTAAAACAAATACTGTTCAGATTCTTTCCTAGTTTTAATTGTTCATGTTTCCAGTTCAAATCATATCAAGAAAAAGGATTCTTTTGGAAAATGCCACCCTCTGATCCCTTTTGGTGAAATACAACAAGAAGGTTCTTAAAAACAGCACAGTGGTAAGCCACAGTGGAGATTTTTGACAGAAAGCAGAGGAGCTCTCCCTTAAGTCACCTGAACATACTGTTTTCTACTTATGAGAAGCTTCTGATGTTACAGCTCAACCTCAAATTTTTGTTAAGAGAGAGGAAGCAAGCACTACTAGGCACTCAAGAATTAAAACCAGTTACGTTAAGGATGTCTGCACTCCGCAGTGAATGCACTTGTACCTTTTCAGGTACCCATTTAATTGACACACGTTGCATTCAGATAACAGCAAACCTGTTCTTTCTTCTACAGACAGAAGTACTTAGGAGTTTCCTAAAATTGGACTCATTGTAATCTGTGGAGTCTTGCTTAACTTTTTATACAAGCTTTCTGCTCCCTAAAATATGTATTCAAATAATTTTGACATATATATATATATATATATATATATATATATATATATTTTAAACTTGTCACACAGAGCTTTTTTTTTTATCTTGGAATAAAGACAGGATCTTACAAACCAGCATATGCTGACCTGGACAGACACACAGACTCAAGGTCTCTCTTCAACTGGGTAAGAAGATACTTCAGTCCAGAAGCCCTACAAGCTCTGCTCCTGCAGTCCTGTCTTTCAGCTACTATGCAGTGACTCTCAGATGATCCTGGTTGAGTCCATCTTTGTAGAAACAACCCAAAAAGCTCTCTCAACGCTATAAACATAAATACAGTTGGGATTATTTTTTTTTTTGCATCAACTTGTGGCCATTATGACCAATCTAAAAACTTAATGCGTTAAAAATTGTCTGGATTGAAGATTTTTACTGTCTTGGGCACTAATGTTTTATTTACCTTCCTTCTAGTGTAATGGGTAATAACAATAAAAAAAAAAGGCTATTAATAATTTAAATCATTTTAAAATGTTGTTTTTCTCAGGTAAGTGCAATTTTGCAGAATAAACATCGTCTGGATTTAAACTGAAGGCAAAGATGAGATTTTCAAATACCTGCACTCAAACTATCTGTAAATACAAAGAAGCTATTAAAGAAAAACTTATTAATTTCAGTCAGACCAAAGACTTAGGTCAATATTGAGATCTTTTAATCATCTCACAAGACTCTTGCAGATAGATAGGCCTTATTAGCCCCAAAACACCAACCGATTTTTCCACAATTTTTCCACAAGAACTGCTCTTTCAGAAACTCTTCAATGTGGACACCACTAGCTGCTAAACTCACTAGCAAGTTGAGTAACTTCAGTCTTTCCTTTGTGAATTGACTGCAGAAGCACATTATTCATTTTTAAATGGTCAGTTCTTAGACACGAACATTTTAGTTTCTGCTGTTGTTTTTCCTCATGCCAACCCTCTCTCTCCCAACATTCCCTAAAATAATAGTACTGCAAGTAATTTTCAGGTAACAATGATAACCTGAACCACATTCAGAGGAAATAAAGAACTCACCAGTTTACCACAGGACTTAATTTTTTTTCCTTCCCAAATGAAGATATATTTTTTCCTCAAGTAAGGATTTTGACCAAATAATATATTTAAAGTGAATATTCATACTGAGGCCAATACATTATTCACATAACACACAACAAGGCACAAAGATATGCAGCAAGCATTTAATCTTCAACGGAAAGTCTAGTGGTTAACCATACAAACAAATTATTTAACATTTTCCTCAGGAATCATTGCATTTCCATCTCCAGAGTGGTTAACATTTGCGTATCACTTCAGTAACACATGGTTATGGTCGGAACATCCAGAGGCTGCATCCCTTAAAGCAAAACTGTGTTAGTTAACATCTGAAAGCACTTGATTCAGCCAGACTAATACATCATCTACAGCAAGAGGAAAATTTAGCTGAGGTAACAAAAATAAATGCAAACTCAGATGTCTACAGAGATATGCAAATAAACAAAAAATAAAAATTACCTCTGCAGGTGAGGTCAGGGATAGTATTTCCAGTGTCTTACCAGATAATCATTGAATAGCTCACAGTCTTTCCCAGTAGGAAGACAGATAGAGAAATAAAGACAAGAAAGATCACAAACACATGCAAAAGCAGAAGAAAGACAATGGGACAGGAATAACAATAGCAAGTGAAACTACAACCTATTTGCAGCTCATTGGGATGGCATATCTAGGCACAAATGACAGATAGTAACTTAAATATACATCAAAAAGCACTGTTCAAGGGAAAGACAAAGTAGCCTGCTGAATGGCCCATCTTCAGACTTGAAGTCATTGATGTTTTGAAATATTAGGTTGGTGTTGTGTTTCTTTAAAAACTAAACGTTGTAACTTACACAGCAGAAAATACTTTTTGCAACTTCCCTTATGCTTAATATAAAAAGCAAGAATGAAAAATGTATCAAAGATAAACGTAGATACTTCTACGTTTCCAAAGGCAGACCAAAAGTACTTAAGGGGCTGAAATGCAAGAGAGTGGGTTTGTTTATAACTCTGATAAAACTGGTAGATGTATACTGCCAGCAACTGCAGCCTGTATAGGCAGCACGCTACTACTATCACTGTTTCAGTAATTGAGTTAGCAGACAGACTACTTAGTCCAAGAAGTCTTTGCAGAGTCCAAAGAAATTCTCTCAAGGTGTAACAAGGTGGGCCCACATTGCCTAGGAACTGCATGACAGGATCTTCTCTTACATTATTTGTGGTAATTTCTGTGAACGAAAAATCAAACTGACAGATACTAGAACTTGAGAGAACAGATCCCTCCTTTGAAATCCTTTTCAAAAGTTAATACCAAAGAATCTGCAGTTCAGTGTTTGTTCCTATCTACTAGCCAGTTTGGGTGACATTTTCTAAAATGCAAATGAATCTATATAGTAGCACAGTATACGTTCTGTGGAAAAATATATATATGTATACAGTGGAAAATGATATCCTACAATTACAAACAAAAATCAAAAGGAAATAAAACTTGGTAGCATGATCTATACATGAAACACAAGAGGCTACTACAAAGATGTTCTGTAGTGGCACACACATTTCAATGTAATGTGTAGATTTCCTCAAGGAAGTATGCACACCATCATTAATCTTACAGGCAGAATGTGGCAATGTATTATTTGAAAGCAACACAAAGCTCTCTTATTTAGCTTATCAGAAAGCTAATGCTGCAATTTTCAAAGAGGTTCACATAATTTATACACCCAAACACAACTGAAATATGAGCAACCAGCTCAAACGACTTTTCTGAACACCTTTAATTACTGATTCCCCAAATCTTAAAGTGCATTCCAATTCCTTCTGCCACGACAGCTTTTCATTATTACATCACCTTTCTCATAGAGCTCCTCCATCGCTGTCCAGGTTTCAGCTCGGACCTCCCGATTGCTTTTACCTGGAACATGTGCATCAGGCCAATGTATCAAATAAAGATCTAAAAAAGAAAGACTATTAAAGTCTCCAAAAAAATATGTCAACCACACAAAGCAGCATTTCCCTCCATACTGGCCCCGTAACATACTATCATCAAAATAGTTACAACTTCATCATGACAATTATTCCATACATCCATTCATTTTCAATAAATTAAATCTACAACATTTCATTAGCAAGTAAAGGTGGCAGAAGCTGCACATCTGCCTCAGGCCTAGGTCACCATAATCAAAATTTCATGGTCACACTTGCATTTAATAAGCTTTTAACCCATAAGTCCCGTTTAAAATCAAAGGGATTTTGGTCAATGTAGTTAAGTCTGGACTACTGCTGAAGCAAGCCTTCAAGTTTGGGGAACATAAATGTTTGGCAGTTGTGTAGATGTTTTATACAATCAAAAAAGTGAGCCTATTTTTTTCCTTTCTAAAGAATACTTCCGTTTATGAATTTCTGTTGGAAATTACAGCACAGCTGCTCTTTCATCCAGGTTTTTGTTTTGGTTATAATTACATTGTTCCAGCATATGCGATATTTTGTTTTTAGCATTACCAAAAATGAAAAAAATGTTTTGCTACATTTTTATGAAATATTAAAATTTTTTAAAACATGATTAAGATTTATAACTGATGAAATTAGCCAAGTTGCTACTGAGGCTGGCTGTCTTGGGATAGGATTTTTTTGCATCTTCTCCATGCAAGAAAACCTTATCTGCCTAGTGCAAAATGAAGCAAAAAAAAAAAAAAAAAACAAAAACCACTAAACATGAGAAATATGTACATACTACTGGACTCAGAGTTCCAAATCAGATTATATAAATTTCCAAGGTGAGAGGACCTACAACTCCTTTTTAAGTTTGTGGACGCTGCTTATCATTCTGAAGGAGAAACTTAAGAGACACTCAAACAACTACATTTCTATTTAAATCCTAACCACAGGTTCAAACTTCAGGCATCTCAGGGAAAGCGGTGTTGACCTCTACCTCATACACTAGTCTGACACAAAACAGGAAAAAGAAACAAATTCATGAATGAGATCTTTGTGCTTTATAATATGCCTTTTTAGACAGTTCAAAAACAGAGTAAAAAAGTTAAAAAATTGAATTGTTTGCAATAAAAAGGGTCTTTTGTTCTTTAAATGTATCACATCATTCATTTACAGGACCTCTCTGTGAAAACACATCCTCTGCTATAGTTTTATTTTATTCATATTTAAGGATTGCAATAATGACTAATATACTCCTCGGCTGGTATATTAGCTTTCCACCTCTATAAATACGAATTCAACCTTAATTTAAAAGGACAAGCCAGCATAAAATTCTCAATAATACACTGGTTCCCATTTCGGCACATCATTGCAACACTTCAGAGTATTTTGCTTACACTAAAAATCTAATTAGAACAGTACAAAATTTTGTAGATTAAGATACGTTATAGCAGTATGTAAGGAAAAATGATTTTGGATGTATCTAAAAAATCATGAGCTAAATCCGCACTTACTCATATATCAGTAAGACACTAGTCTTTCAATCTCAATTGCTCAGACAAGTAAATATTGTTTACATATAATGATTTGCAGAATCTGGATTTGTGTCACATTTAAAGAAAGAGTTACTCATTCTTCTGCTGTAGTTATTACGAAAAAATACCAAGATAAGGTATTGGAATTGGAATAAATACCAATTTCTTTAGACTTTAGCTGATAACCAATATTGGAATACTGAATTCTCATTCATGTGCATGTAAAGTTTGTGTTAAAATTTCCGCTGTCTTAGAAGCAATCCCAATGATTAGAAGCAATCCCTATGATTAGCATTTGGAATTGCTAATATCACATGTTCATTTTTTATCCTAAGTCACATATGCCGTTGGTGCATTTACTGCAAAGAGACTACCATACTTCAATTTAAACTCTTCTGCTTGGATAAGGCAAATGTCATCCATAAAGTAAACGTAAGTTATTGCCATCAGATACCTACCTCACTTAAACACAGAGGAAGTGCCTACCTTTAATTCTTGCTTGTTATGCTCTCCAAGTAGGACTACTATACTTAACTATGCAGAAACAAGTCATTTAGTATGAATAAAAAAAACATCAACTTCAGCAAAAGTTTACCAAAAGTTACTTTTCCAAGAGCCTGCATATCTAGAAGCATCACAGTTTGTAAACATTTACAGAAATAGCTACACCACAGACTTCCATGTACAAAGATGCTTTGTACTCAGCCCAGGAAATTATGGAACTCTCAGAAGAGTGACTTTAACCAGCATTGAGAACTGAAGGATCTCTTGAATATTTCACAAATGCAGTACATCATCTTTCCCTGTGTTAGTGTCTGAGACCTCTTCAACGCAAACAGGATTAGCTCTTGGCATGTTACTTTAGAAAGGCGATGCTATCGTGTATGTGATGTCCATACCATCTTAGGATGTTCATTGTAATTTAGTCTTTTTATTGGAATAAAAAACACACTTAGAAACACACACATTTAAGATTAGAAAGCATCTACAGGATCACCAAGTGCAGTCCTGACTGCTAGCAGTGCTCCTGAAAGCAGAGATAAGGCAACTTATCTCCGATACACAGAGCAGAGCGGTCTTTCTGCCAGGCAAGCACCAACCACCACAGCACAGCCAGAAGTGGAAGGAATAGCACAGTACCATGTACCCTGCAATGAGCAATGGAGCTGCCACTCTACTTAAATAAACTAAGCATGGTTATTTCAAGTGAGGATCTGCTTACTTCTACTGCATGTTAGAAAACTTTACGTAAGAACTGTGAACAGTAAGCACCTCACAAACCGAGCTCTACTATTTCATCTTCATATATACACACATTCACACCTGCACCCCCACACTTTCTTTCTGGTGAAAGTATTTCCCCCTGGGGGATTACAAGAACACAAACACCGTTATTTTCATTTTGGAGGCAAGAAATTAGTTTTGAATAATTTATCAAAATAGCTTAACCAAGAATTGCACAACTACCGCTGAAGGTTTTTAAGAACAGACTACATTTTAGCTGCTGAGAATGATGTAAATATAGATTTAATTTTGTCTTGTAGCGGTGGGTAACAAATACTTTGAGCTCTCTTCCAACCATATTCTTTTTTAAATAAACTTAATTCAAAATAAAAAATGGTTCACGGTATGCGCTTGAGAAAATCACAATCAAGTTTTGTATTCACCAACTTTTAAAAGCATGCCTTAAAGATAATCAAGCTGTGGTGAGGTGCGGTAGTAAATGAGGGCCTAAGGTTCAAACATCAAAACACAGCTGCAGGAAAACTATTCATATGTGAACTGCTTTCACACATTTAAAACGCTTATAAGTTCTCAGTGGTTGTGGCACCTATAATCAACACAGTTCCTCTTAATCAACTGCATGTTGTGGAAGTAGAAGTCAGTGATTCTAATCAAATTGCTAACACTATATATAAAAATATATTTATATGGTGTATACAGACACGCACATAGGAGGAGTCAGAACTCACTGTAACAAACCTGCTTTTGAACAGGCCCTGGATCATATCAAACCTAAAAGTAAAACCACATTTTTCAATGTTTTGCAGTTATCTCAATGCAATGGCAATGCCTAGACTTTTTTCATGAGTATTCTATATAACAATAAGTAACTTCCAAAACATCCTGAATTAATACATGATCTGAACTGGGTGTATTATCATCACTCAGATGCAAGAAATTACCGAGACCTATTAAACTGAATATGCTGATACAACAAAGATTTGCCCAACTCCAGATGTGGATCTGTGATAGGTTAAATTTGGTTGAATCTGACAAGCTCAGAACAGTCACAAGGAAAAAAAAAATGTTTATAAATTCAGTAACCCACAAATCACATTCAAGAAGAAGTTACTTTGGCGGTTTGATCTAAATCCTAAGGAATGCATTCTGCCACTGCCAAACCTGTAACATTTGCTGCCATTTCATATTGGTTTACTGTGACTGCTAGTTGGAGAACCGCATTTAGAAAATGCAAGGGGAACCTCTGTTATAACCACTGCCCGCAAATAAGAAAAAAATTCCAGCTTCTCATGGATATACAATCTCCTGATTCGAACAAAAACCCTGGAACACTGTTCGCCTAATACCACTTGCCTGAAACTGTCTACTAAAAAAGTTTTATAATGATGTTTTACATGGAATGCTCTCTTAAAAAGCAGTGACTGCCTCAAATCTGTTTCAACAGCTGGCATTTTCTATGGCTAACGCACGAATTTATCAACTAGTATTCACCACATCTTTAATAAAGTCTGCATGGATGGACTGTAGCCTACGTGGTCCTCAAGAAGACTTTCCTTGGAACAAAGCTTAGCTGCACAATCAGCTGCCAGGCCCCTTTTTCAGTCCCCTGAATGGCTAACTTTCCCTCTAACATAAAGGTGTAACTTATCTAGGATCTTGCAATTTTCTATATGAACCATGTATGCTTTTGGAAATGCTGTAACCACCATGTATTTGGTTAATATATGATGAAATTAGGAAATTCAAATTTAGAGAATTCTATTTGCTAGAACATGCTTGTAACACATGCTTGTAACTACATAATTTACTTTCCTCAACAGGCTGGGACACAAATTGCTGTTATTACTAGAACTTTTCCTGCCATTGAATTTCATGCCCTCTCTATTGCATAGACTGGCCAGCAGAAAGGTGATGTAAAATGCAGGTATGAATGAAAGCAGAGCTAAGATATCTAAGCTTCTAGTCTACAAGCTTATGACTGTATTTGCAAACCAGTCTTCTGTATTCTATTTACTTTTGTTAAGACTTGTGACAAGCCTCAAAATTTCCAACAAAAAGCCCTTACTCTAAACATTTGAGAAACACTTGGAAAGTTCATGTTTCAAGGTACTTCCACTTCTTGTTTGAAAATCCTTCCAATAGCACCTTCCAGTTCAGGTGTGTTCAGATAGAAGATATTTGGCTCCCTAAAGCATGATGCTTTTTACCAACCCCATAAAACATACCACACATTGTACCTCCTCTAAGGGCCTCCTTCACTAGAACCTGTAGCACAGAACAGAGAATTCAACCTTCTCTCTTTGACACAACAGCAGATCACATTGTGTCTAACTGTTACTCTGTCATCCCATCCCTCTGGTGGAGGTCACCATCCTCACTGACAGATCCGTGAATTGCACATGAAGTATTTCCTAACTCATCACAGTTTACAAAACATGAAGTTAAAACAAACTGAAGTCAGCATCGATTTAGCTCCCTGTGTTTCACTAACTGGTCGTTCAAGAAGACATTTATAAATTGTTCACACATCTCTGCATTAATGGAAGAAAGCAGAGGAAGAAAAGGAGGGAAGACAGGAGACTGGGGAGATAAAAAAAAAAAAAAAGAAAAGAAAAAAAGCATTGGATATTGGGGTAAATTGTGCAGGCACTTGTAATGACTTCTGAATTTGTCTCTGTAATGTGAACAAAAGAAGTCTGAGTTGAAAGTATCTGACAGATATGATGTTCTGTTTATGCCAGACCACGGAGTCACTCACTTGGTGACAGTATTAGGGCATTTCTAGCTCTCAAATATTTTTTCCTCAGCTCACAAACTTCTGCTTAGCAGCAATATCCAAGTTGAGTATTTGTGCAAGCACCTACTTTAACCAGTCTGCTACCTGAGAAAAAAGCAAATTACTGAAAGGAATCACTGAGAATGATTTCCTGGAAGTGAGTCAAGTTTTCCTCTCATTGGCATTCAGTACCAGTGCCATAGAAAGCACGGGAAAAAAGAAAGCAAACACAAAACATAACAAACAGAAAGCAGAGAGAAGGAAACATGTTATTTCTCTGTTTAGAGGACAAAACCAAGGACTGAAACTTTTTTTTTTTTTTTTTTTTTTTTAAATTAGAGTCTCCTTGCAGTGACCTGTATTTGCATGGGACAGAGAAGAAGAAATATTAATTGATTCTGATTTACTCTGTACTTGTGCAGGCAGTTCAGGGATAAATTTCCATTAGGAATGGAGCCAAAGATGTGCATATAAAAATCAAAGTCTTTAACAGATAGAGGTTTTGCCTCTTCATCTTGAAATGTACCAGGCAAAAAAGCCAGCAAATATAGCACACATCTGCTATCAATAAATGATTCCACAAAATCAGTACTTCAAAAGAGCTGTTCACTTCATTAAAGTTTGATTATTGGTAACAGGTGGACAGTGAGGAAAAAGAAGCACATATGCATTTTCAGGACACTAACATATAATGTTCAACCAATTATTCCTTGATTGCCCGCATTAACACTCTCTACCAGTGTCACTATTTTAGGTTATTACTTTAAATTCATCTTTCTCTCCCTTCACTTTCTTTTGATTGCTCTAGCTAGGCAGGAAGAAGTAAAAACCAATATAAAACATATCTTTTTTTTTTTTTTTTTATCAGGTTCCACCACTCTTATGATCTGTTACACAGAATTAACTGAGGTCACTATTGCAGCTTGTTGCCTGTCAAACGGTAGTAAAAATATCACATCTTTGACTATCGGAAGGTCATGACCAGGCTATACTTAATACTAAGTCTAACTCAGTGTTAAATTTAGTCTTCTCAAGTCTTATAGACACTTCTAACTTTTTCCTTGAAGTACATTGCAGCAGACAGATCAAACCAAAGGCAGTTATTTAGCTATTTTTTTTTAGAACTGTCAATAATCCTGCAAAATAACTTGTAGAAAGGACTCTCATTCTCTGAGATTTAGCAGACCACACAAGAGCTTAGGCATTTTTGTGTCCCTCATAACAATAAATTATTGTCAAGTCTGTGAATCCTTGTTCTTTTTTAGGTTTTCAGTGTTTTCAGCAAAATATATAGCACTTGTAGTTGATCCTCAAATCAATTTAACAATGGAATGAATTTCTACAAAAAATACACCTTAATCTGTTTTAAAAGATTTGCAACAAGGAAAAATTATGTGATCTCAGTTACAGGTATGCAAATTTCCTAGAGAACAAACAGAACAAGAAATTTGCAAAAATGTAAAGGCAGAATTTGGCTACTGTAATCTACCCACCTGTGCTACAGTGTTTTACAAGAATTCATTCATCTTTCCAAACGTTCACAGAGAAGGCATGGTAAATGAGTTATATTAAGGATACATACCAAGATAGTCAACACCAAGTCTTTCACATGACTCCAAGCAGGCTTTTTTCGTGTTTTCATAGCCATAATCACTATGCCACAATTTGGTGGTTATCCAGAGGTCCTCCCGCTTCACACCACTCTCTTTAATGGCTTTTTGGAGAAGAGATTCACAGCCGTATCTTTTTGCTGTGTCAATATGACGAATGCCACATTTCTGTAATGCATGGACCACAGCATCATGGGAATAGCCACCCTGATGGGAAGTACCTAAACAAAAGACATTAGAAAATTAGAAGTGAATTATGAGTGACATATTTCTTTTTTGATTGTTTGTTCCCCCACTTTTTCTTTTTTAATTAATATTGTCACAGAACCTTCTTTTTGAATTCTCACTTCACATAGCAAAGAAATGGGAACTGACAGGCAGTGTGCCCTTACACATCTCCAGGCTGTGAAAATCCGTAAGATGCTAGGTTGTTGGTGCTGATCAGAAAACAGAAAAAAATAAAGAAGTAACTGTAAAGAAGTGAGATCATAAGTCAGGCTGAAGAACATCAAACAGAAAATAGATATCTTATGATAAACCAGTATATGACATTTTATTTTCATATAGGAGCACAACATTTAAGATGAAACACTAACAGCATGAAACAAAATATGTAACTTAAAAACAATTTACATTGCATATCATGAAGCGTTTACTCTTTTGAACTCCTGGTAGTTTCAAGTTATTACTGCACTGTGGAACCCACTGCAGACTGGGCCGTGCTGCAGGTGCAATTCACATAACGTCAGGCTCAGCAGTACCCAGAACAATGGAATCCTGCACAGGGGTTAGAGAACTGGTGCACGGGGAGCCTCGGCAACAAAGTCAAGCAACTCTCATTGTGTAGGTATTCACTGGATGTACAAAAAGTGTATTTTGCTTGTCAAGGGGACGGAAGGAGGAGGAGACTCAGCAGGAAAAGCAACCAGCAGGAGGACCGTCAGATAAAGAACTGGTTGAGAGCAAGGAGGATGATATTTCTACTTACCCTTTCCTGTTAGTTGTTCTTCCTGCCGTGAGCCCCTCACCCATTCACCCCCAGTCAGACTTCCCACAAACAGTATTTTCTACAGTTTGTTTGAGGAAATGCTCCGTCAGCTATTAAAGCCAGCCTCTAAGGTGATGCCTAGTGCTTAGAGGCCCTAATTCCAGGAACTGCAGTCAGCACGCGGATGGCTACAACGCTATCTGCAGGACTACAGGTCAAAAAATAATATCAAACGAAAGTTGTATCCACTGACAACTTTCTCTTTCCCTCCAAACATGGTGTTTATTTGTACATTAAGCACCGCTATCTGCACATTATGAAATGAACAAGTGCGTAAGCTCACCCGGAGGGGCAGAAAAAGGAAACACACAGTTACCTCAGATGCACCCACAGCGCTTCCCATACCTGAACTGGCGACAGAATGCCCACGAGCGCTTACAAAGTCCTTGTGCATGTACCACAAGCCAGGTTCTCCTCAATGCTTAGCATTTTTGTTCATTCCCAATCTTAGAAGGAAAGTCAACGCTACTTCTATCATCCTGCTCACCACTGGCAAACCATGTTAGCTATAATATGGTCTAAGATGCACAGAGTCCTGAAGAGCATGAAATTCTGCTGATCACAATGGGACAATCCCTGCTTACATTTAGGATGTACAAAATTTGGAGTATTCAATTCTTGATTTATCTTCATAGATTTTATTATATTCCTACAATTTTGACATTCATATTGTAAGGATTTTACCATTCTAAAGTACACAAAGTTACAATATTTTAAAAGACAGGAAATTTTAAAGAGTTTTTTCTCCATTGCCACTAATTGTGACAAATACTGTAACTGGTTTAATTCCTCAACCACCTACAGATAATGTCCCTACAACTTGCTTTACACCAAAAAAATAAGTTAAGCTAATTCAAATCACACCTTTAAAATTGCAATTTCACAGTCTTCATAAGTGTTTAAGAATTTGATGAACGCAGCTTCTGTGCATCTATACACATAGAACATACATGCAATTATTATATTATTCAGATACTAAAGGAATTTTATTAAAAATTATATAACTGGCATAGAAAAATTACTATACTTTTTCATAAGAATCCCTTTTAATAATCTGGTATTGGTGCCAAATAAATTAGGTTGCAATTATTATGCCTGTTTCTGGCTGAATGGACTTCTCTAAGCACAGAATGAATGGAGTTCATTTAGAGGTCTTGCAAATGAACTCAGACTCTTTTCATGCATAATGGATTTCAGTAAGAACATTTAGGACAAACAGCTTTTTTTCTTTTTTTTTTTAAATTTAACCCTTTTAAGGTAAAGGGAGAGAGTGGGAGAGAAGGAAAATTCAGGATGTGTTTGTTATCGTTCCCCATTCCATGACGGCATGCACACTTGTTTAGGAGGAAATAGAGACCAAGATTACCCTTGAGGGAATTATCCTAATTTCTGTTCCTCAAGATGAATTACAACAGTCCTGATGCACTAAATAAACAAATGCTTAAGAACTTTTTACCCCTTCCTCCCCCCAAATAAAAAGAGAAACATGATTTACTTTCTCTCTCACTTTCTGGGGACCTAATGTCTTCATAATCTGTGAAAATATTATCTGAAAATATAAAAATGTCCTCTGATATGAATACTATGGCTACTTGAAATCAGTGCAACCACTTACATTAAAAGAGTTCACATTAGAGAAACTGCGGGCTGGATGTTCAGAGATCATCTCACAGATTAAATCTCTTCTGACATCAGTAGGCAATAAAAACACCCAGTTGACAAACAAAACACCTAGAAAAATACCATTCCTTTGCTGGCTGATCTTTAAGTAGTCACTTCAGAAGAAAACTCTCAGAAGAAAAATATCAAACACTCTTTTACTGATGTTTACGTGCTCACTATATACCATAATAAGCTTGAAATACCTTGTTCTATTAGTTTTACTGGTATTATTTCAACACTACATCAACATTAGGGCCATGTAATGCATCTTTACCCATTTCACGTTGTAAATACACTGAAGTTTTTGGTGTCAGTACAACTTGATTCCACTGATATCTTATGACATGATAAAACATAAAATGCTGCCTCCACACAGCAAATGAACATACAACACGTTTCAAGGATCACTGCTGAGCCATTCACAGACTGGTGTGCCTCTTCTGTAGACTGGCTCAAGGACAGGCAGTCTTTACTTACTGTCCTTGCTTACTGTTATTGAAAGAGGCTGCCAGTCTTTCCTCTTCTTCTTTCACCTACTTTTGCATTCATGTGACTCCCCGACAAGCTGATTCAGCGTGCTGAACAGCCAAAAAGCGTATAGTTTTATAATTATTCAGGAAGCAGAATAACTCTCCAGAGGAAAACAAAACTCAAGATTTCAGGCAAGGAATGGGGAGAAAAATAGAGAAAGAAAAATCCCCCTTTCAGCAGCAGTAGTTAAATAATTTGATACATTCCCCGTTTGTTACTAAAACAAAAAAGATAATAAGTTGTATTCAAGCCAACCACAACGAGATCAGAAAGTCCTTCTCCACTAACTCGTCTCCTGGAGCCCTTCTTCCCTGCTGTTCCCCATTGCTATCACCGGTGCTGCTCTTGCACAAGCAGACAAGGTCACACTGACTTTCTGTAAGTATAGCACAGAACCCAAGTGTTCTTGCTGCTGCATTTTGGCTCCGTTTTTTCTTAATTGGGTCAGTTACCCTGCATATCATATTTAGCATCATATGACGAAGTATTCATTGCATCCTCTCTTCCTTTTGAGAGCGGAGGGGTTTTCCTTTGCAGCAAGTGAAATCAAAGTCAGGCTTATTATGGAGCTCTCTTTCTCCATAATTTTCATAAGGCAATTGCAGAGCATTTCTAGTTATGAAATGTGGCTACACTCAAATTTAATCACAACCAATCTTACGAAATAACTTGGACATCTTTACTCGGATCCCAAGAGTGTCACCTAACAACGTGTACCCAATGGAGCAGGTGCCCTTGCAGGAAGGAAGCCAGAGAGGTGCTGGGTTCCTAGCACCAGCAGTACAACGTCAACGTTGGCTGACAGGCACTGAGCAGACAGGTAGTATGTACCCAATCCTAAAGAAGTACTGTGCAAGTTTAGCTAAAACTCAGCCATTTCAGACCTAGGACCAAGCTGTACAAGAGGTGCAGGAATAACAGCATTTGGTGAGGCTACAACACAAAAATGCCAAAGGCGTGCTGCAGCTCTGACACCAGCTGCTGATGAAGGTGGTTTTGTATGGATATGGTGCAAGAGGAGCTGCAGCTGTTGAAGTACAGGCATAATTTGGCTTCTGACCTCATGGGACAGTGGGGAGGCCCCCAGGCCCCCAGAGCACTGCACTACAGCAGGTGCTTCCAGACAGTAGGAGCACACTGGTACAAGGAGATGCACCAGAGAACTCGACAGAGGTGTGAAGTTACACTGACACACATTTTACGGCATTACAACAATCCTGCAAGCACAGCTTCGTGTTATTCAAACACTGCTGTGCTAAGATATTGCTAACAGACCTGACTGAAGTCTAGAGATTACCACCAAGTTTCTCTTGACTCTGTAAAAGCTGTCTAGATATTGCTTTTTTTTTTTTTTCTATTTCTTTTTGATTGAAGCTTTACTTTGATGTTTCAGATGTTTTTGCTAAATATAATCCACTGCTTAGTGCGAAGGGGTCACTCTGGGGCTGTTTTTCTCCTCTGTGACTCGGTTATAATAAGCTCAGACTTCAATAACAAGAGGAAGGAAAGTATGCAAGCAGGATCTTCAGCTCCACAGTGCTCCTCGGGCACCTAGGAACAGACTGCGGGAATACAGCCTAGGCACGGTGTGAGAGCAGGAGAGAGCCCCAACATGTTGATTATGTATGCAGGGAAAGGGAAGCCAGAATTGCTAGTTTTCACTCTTCCTGAGAGGAAGGAAGAAGTGGCAACGAGCCACTGTTGACAGAAGTACTCTATTCCCTCCATCCCAAAGAGGGTCAGACTGTGAAGGATATTCAGATCACCTACCGTAACATTAAGGTGCGTCGCTGATCCAGACACAACTTTAGAAAAGGAGTTATGAAAGCAGTGTCACGGGATGGCTCCCACAAGGAGCCCAGGAACTCTGCAGGCAGCACCCATTCCCAGCGGGGTGCTGCAGCGCCAAAACCACCAATTCACTAGGACGCGTTTCTGGCAGGAAAAATACACTATTGCCCAAAAAAGCTATTATTTTTC